GCCATGACAGAGAACCACAGACCGAGTGGCTTAGACAATGGAAACTCATTTTCTCCGTCCGGAGAATGAAAGTCCAACACCCCGGTGTCGGCAGGGCTGGCTCCTTCTGCGGCCCCTCTCTTCTTCTCATGTGGTCTCTTCTGTCTGTGTCTGTGACCCCTCTCCTCTTCTCATGACACCAGTCATTGGATTAGGCCCACACCAATGACCTCATTTTATCTTACCTCCTTAAAGGCCCAAATACAGCCACATTCTGAGGAGCTGGGGTTGGGTCTTTGACATATGGCCTGGGAGGGCCCAGTGCAGCCCTAACGAGACGCCAGCTCCAATGCCCCGTTATCCTCCAGCATCGCCCTGCTCACATGCATCGGAGCACTTCAGGGGACTAACTCTGTCCTTTGATATTAACTCATGCATTTGTCTGAAGTACCCAGAGACACTTACTGAGCACCTTCTGTGGGTCAGGGATCCACTCGATGCCCAACATGCAGAGGAAAAATACGGTGCCCAATCCGATGCTCAGGTGAGAGACAGACCAGTCACAGCAACTGCAACACAGCGTCACGGGCCACCAATCCAGCTCCGGATCGGAGCGAGCAGAAAGCTCCTGGGTTGGGATGGTGGCCACCAGTCAGAGAGTCAGCGACTCAGCACCAGGAGGGAGGGAAGACAGGCTGCTGGGGAGGTGGCCTGTGGAGGCCTGGAGCGCAGGGCCGTGGTGCTGTTAGGCAGAGGCGTGGGGGCGGGGCTGCTGGTGGTGCAAGGCCGTGAGGAGCCTGGTGCGTGGGGTTTGGTCTGCGGGTTATTGAGCAGGCGTGGGCATTCTTTCTAGAAAGCTCCCTAGTAGAATGCTGGCCGGCAGCTATGGGCCTGACCAAGTAGGGAACCAGCAGCAATTCTTACCCCACTGTGATGCGAAGCCCTGGGAACAAAGAGCAGAGGAAGATCCGGAGCGGTTTTGGAGTCAGAGTGACAGGACCCGGTGACTAGCTAGATGCAGACACAGGGGGGGAAGGACAGGCAGGATCCTCATCAGCTCCCCGGAATCTGAGTCTCAGTGAGTGCCCTGTTTGAATGTGTGATTCAATGGCTTTGCTAAATGTAAACACCCATGCAACCACCACTGCAGTCAAGGTATTGAACATTTTCATCACCCCAGGAAGTCCGTTCCCATCTGCCACCACCCTCACCCCTGGCCCCAAGCAAGCACTGATCACCTTCTGCCATACTGAGTTATTTTTGCCTCTTCTAGAATTTCATATCAATATATGATTTCATATAGTTTGCCAGGTGTGGATATATTACAATTTGATTATCTATTTACACTTTTGTGTGTGCTCGAAGGTATCTGCAGACGAATCTTCCATCTCTTGATCATTTAGGAAAGTAAGCCCCAAGACTGGCTGTTCAGAGCCACCCTGTGAGATTATTAAAAATTTGAAAGCAGGACTTACCCTTCATGGACTGATCGGATTTGGGGGAGAGCCCAGGCTGTGTGTCTAACCAGCCTGGCAGGTAATTGTGCTCAGCTGGCTGGGGAACCACTTCTCTACACAGAACACAGCGGTTTACTGTCCTGCTTGCTTATCACTAAGAGGCCATCTATCCAAACTCCTGGCTGATACCCTCCTTTCCGAGGCCGACCACACACCTTTACCTCCAGCCACACACCTCTTCACTCCTTCCCGAACAGAAAAGTCCCGAGCACCGGCCACATGTGAGGCACCGATGGAGATGCTGTGCTTAAATGCAAAGCAAATCGATTTGCTGCTTACAGTTAGTTGGAGGGATAGGATATGGATGCGTACAGTCATACAAGAAAAGGCAATAAACGTCAGAGACACGGATAAGATGCTCAGAATTTAGAGAAACACCAGTTGCCAGCTTTTTAGGGGGAGGGGGTAGTGAGGGAAGAGGTAACATTTGATCTGGGACCTGAAGGGTGGGTGAGATTGGTGTGCATGGGGAGCAAGTGTGGGAAAGGCAGAGCAGGCAGAGGCCACCTGGGAAGGCAAGCGACAGGCAGGAGGGGGAAAGTCCTTTTGCTGCTGGGCCATGGGTGCACAGAGGGCAGAAGGGAAGAGGAGATGGCCTGAGTGGGAAAAGTGCAGCCACCTCCAAGGTCAGGGTTTACGACATCTCTGCCACCTCTCTGGGTTCCCTCAGAGTCAGCCCCTCGGGTGCATTTCCCAGCACCCCCGAGGAATCAGTTCTGGCACCATCTGCCTGGAGAGTGTGGGACCCCCCAGGTTAAGGTCTTAGTCTCTCAAAAGTGTCCTCACTTCCGACACCAGTGGTAAGACCAACTGGCTATAGGTTTTATCCCACCGCCGCCTCCTGGGGTCCGATTAATCTGCTACTCTATTCTGATATCAGAACAGCGTTTACCTATAGGTACCACTTATAAGGGGCTTCTAAAAGGAGGCAGGCGGAGAGGCACTAGAGCAAGGTCCGGAGGGTCCTGGTGCGGGAGCTCTGCCCGCATGGGCCTGCTGCGCCCAGCTTCATGGGATCTTGTTGTTCAGGACTTTTTATGGAGCTTAACCCTTCCCCTTCCCTCCAGGGACCAGTCTGTGGGGCTGACAGTTCCAACCCTCTAATCACTCGTTCTCACTGGGGACCAGTCCCACCCAGAGGCTGTCTGGGGCCCTGCCCTCAGTCACCTCATTGGCTGGCTGAGGTGTGTGCTCCAAAGGGGGTCCTTCTGAAGGACCAAAGACACTCCTGCCACCCAGGCCATCCCAGGGCTGTGAGAGTTCTTTATAAATCCAGGAGTCAGTCCACCATCAGCCTGTGCTCTGCAGCTACTTCCCGTCTAGTCTGTGGCTTGTCTTTTCATTTTCTGGACACGGTCTTTTGAAAAGCACTAGTTTTCCATTTTGTTGACATCCACTTTATCAATTTTTAGAAATGTATGCTGTGGATCATGCTTTCGGTGTTGTATCTAAGAAACTTAAGGTTGCCAAGACTTGTCTCCTATCTTCTGTTAGCATTGTCTGGTTTTATTTAGATTTCACGTGTAGGTTACGGCTCACCTTTCAGTGACATTTATTATGCGCGGGACACTGGGCCCAGCGCTGTGGGCTGCAGAGGAATGAAATGCACGCGTTGCTCAGGCTCATCTGGGCTGGGGAGCGGGGTGGAAGGGAGTCAGCAGGACGTTAGGTGGGTGTGGGGTGCTGTGGAGACCTGTCACGGTGGAAAAGCCGGACTGCTCCTGGACAAAGAGGCCTGGAACTGAGACTTATGGGGAAGTAGAGTTAGGGTGAAAGTAAGGATCGAGTGGGAAGCCCTTTGTTTGGTCATGGAGTGGCCCTGGGGAGACCTGGAGGTAGAGCAGCTGCAGGCGTGTGCTGTGCTGTGAATTGGCGTGCAAGGTACCCGCAGGAGCAGGCGGAGCATGTGCTGCGCTTTACCCGGAGACAGAGCAGGCGGTGGCTGCCACGTGGCTCGAGCTGTTCTCTGAGGACGGGGACTGCACCAGGGGAGCCGTCCCAGGCAGCCCGGTACTGTCCCTTCTGCTCGCCCTCTCCCCGCTGCGGAGGGCAGGCCGGGCTGGCCCTCTCCCCACTGTGGAGGGCAGGCCGGGCTGGTGCTGCTGGTCCTGTGGGTTTGCTCCCAGGACCAAGCAGCCAACATGCAATGCCAAGGTCATCCCAGAAGCAGCCTGAGCACGACTCCCAGATCTGTGGTGTGTGTGTGTATGGGGGGGAGGGGCGTTGTACATATTTGGAGCACAGCACTAGAAGAGGTTATGGTAGGAAGGAGAGCACATGTTCCAGGCCCTGCGTGGATTGGCCCCATGAAGCACAGCAGCTGCTGGCATTAGCTCGTTGGCACCAGATAGCCAAAGCCTGCAGGTTAGAGAAGAATGTTTCAGGAATGCAGAAATGAAGGAGTCAGCTGTATTCAGTGACTTAGCTTCATCAGGTCAGTAGGAAGCCCAGAGCGCGGGCTGACTGGCCGCCCACTGCACCCAGGCGGGCCCTGCCCTAACTCAGCGCGCGGGCACCACACCCTGGGGCACCGGGGATGACACAGCGTGAGCTTAGGGCTCTGTAGCCTCTGTGCCTGTAGAAGCTTCAGGAAAGTTCTGTCTTCCCTCTTCTTTCTGGTGATCCCAGGAGCGAGCACAGACTGCTAGCAGGCTCCACGGCTACGTGGCCTCTGTCTGCCGCCCCCAACCCCAGCACTTCCCAGGGTGGCTGTGCACTGCACCCAGCCCTCACCGCCCACAGCCGCAGCCCCTCTGCACTGATCCGGGCGCAGAGGGAGCCTCGTCCCGCACATGCTGCCTCCCCGCCGCCCTGGGCCCGCCAGGGTCGCTGAGTGTGACAGGTCTGAAAGCCAGGTCTCCAACGGCCCCAAGGACGCACTGGGTGCAGTGGGAGGCCTAGAATTCCGTGAGGAAAGAACTTTTTCAGCTACTTCCCGTCCCTGCAACGAGAGCTCTCCCAGGAGGCTTCACTTCCACAGACAGACAGACTGCAGGGCCTCCCAGCTGCTGCCCAAGCACCTGGGCTGCAGCCCTCAGTGTGCTGGGCTCCAGCTGAGGCCGCTGCTCCGAGCTGCCAGCTCGCATGCCCCGCTGCCCTTTCAGATGGCCTGGTGCCCTGTGAGTGTCCGAAGCCCCAGGGAAGAGGCAGCCAGCGTGGGCAAGAGCAAGGCAAGAGTCACAGCCCAGGCTTGATTTTCCCATAAAGAAGTTCTGTATTTCGTCAAGCTCGGCATTTCCCCTACTTACTGCTAATAAATGGGCCGTTCCCCCTACACTCAGCCTTACACACACACACACACACACACACACACACACACACACAGAGTCAGAAACCAGCCAGGCAGCCTGGCATCGGTAGGTGCCCCTCTCCCCCTCACCCAGCACCCTGAGGGCCCTGTCTCTGACGAGATGCAGAGTGGTGGGGACCGGTAGGATGGGCACATGTCTTCCGGGGAAGAGAAATGAAGCAGCGTGATTATTTTTCTGGAGGGGAAACGAGCCACCTGAGGAGCCCCCATCCCATGATCCACCCGTAGCACTGGCTGGAGAGCTGGATGCTGGGGCTGGGGGCGGGGGAGAGCTGTGAGGGTGTGGAGGTCCACCAGTGCTCTGGCCTCTGAACTGGAGTGGGATGGGGGTGGGGTCCTTCCCCCACAACCTGGGGCCTTGTGAGAGACCCCATGGCAGTGCCGTGGCGCAGGCATCGTAGCGCAGCTGGTGCTGCCTCGGTCTTGCTTGTATTTCCCTTTGGCCAGAAGCCAATGTGTCTGAAGTATTGGGACGGTGGGTGGAGTGAGGGGACCTGCAGCCGCCCCTGGGGACAGGAGCACTTTGTCACAGGGTCCCTTTCTGCACCGGTGCTCAGTGGTGCCGGGAGCGGCCTGACCCTCCCTCCTGGCGTCAGTGGTGCCAGAGCACGGAAACATGGGGGCGGGCAGGGTCTGCTGGGCGGGTGGGGCAGCGGGCCTGGCGTTCCTGCATTGTTCCTAGAGGAAGCGGGTCAGAGTGAGTCAGACTGGCCCCTACACTGGCCGCTGAGCCGCTGACACCACGGGCTTTGCCCTCGTCCCGCCGAGGTTCCAAGCGGGAACAAAGAAGAGAAGGCCGGATGAAAGATGAGGTGTTGAGATTAGGTGTTTAAGTTACTGGGCCCTTAAACCTATGGTTACTATGGGCTACCACTTCTCAAAGCATCTAACATAAGTTTAATTATTAGTATGTTTCAGTTAAGATGTCTAAACTCTTAAACTATGGAAACACAAAGTATTATTTACTACTTCTGTAAAACTAGGATTTATATCAACTATCTTAAAAGCCATCCTTCAGGAATAAGTTCCAGAAATGGGACAAAACAGATGATTTTAGGTATTTGGTGTTGAAGAATTTTAGGAAATTCTCAAGCATTTTATAAGTAAGCGAGATTAATTCTATTAATGCTGCTGTCCCCACATCAGCCTGAACATGGTCGAAGGTAACATTGCCGGGAGCTCTGTGCCACCGCAGCGGGTCTCCCGGGAGCAGGTGGGACAGTGTGCAGAGCTGTGTGGCATTGGCAGCCTCACAGGGAGGACTGTCCTTGCTCTGTCGCTGCCTCTGCACTCGCCCACGAGGCAGCACCCAGTTTTTGCAGGGCCCATGCTGGGCTGACATGATCTGATTTATGTTTTAAAATATTAGTAATTGTTAAAAAATTTTAAATTGTGGTAAAAAAAATCCAACATGAAGTTTACTGTATTCACCATTTTTATGGCTGTATTATTAAAAGACTCTGCTGGCTGCTGTGTGAGCATTAACTCCAGGGGCAAGGCAGGCAGGGGTGGAGGTCGACCTAAGGTTAACTGTGGGGAGGGTATGGGGGGGCTGGAATGGCTCTGCCAGGAGCTGGCGTGGTGATGGTGCTTCACTTCCAAGGGGCAGACTGGGACACGGAAAACCATGGAAATCGCTGAGCAGCGGGCCAGGCCTGTAGCTTAAAATAAGTTAAAATGAGGGGTTTTGTGCAGGGCGTGACCAATCCAGCTGAACTTGGAGGTCTGTCAGGCACTGGGCAAGGCGTGAGCTCCCGGAGGCACTTCCCCAGGAGAAGGCACAGCAGTCCCCGGACTTTCTGGAGAAGGAGGCTGGCTCCAGGACACCTGCCGAGTCTGAGCTTGGGAGGGTGGGGGGTAGCACTGAGCTGAAAGGCCGGAGCCTCAAGGTGGCCCACGTGCCTCTGAGGTTTGAGCTGCTAGAACAGGGAGGCTGTGCCGAGAGCCACGGAAGTCAGGGCGGAGGTAGTCCTTTAGGGTCTGCGCTGGGCACACGGTCATGCAGTGCACACAGTCAAATGCCCGGGGCTGCCCCTGGGAAGGCTCACAGGCAGCTTCCTAGCCGGCATGTAACAGACACGTCTGGGCGCCTCCTCCTGGCCTGGGGACGTCTCTAGATGGGATACTCTCCCTCTCTCTCCCTCTCTCTCTCTTTCCATTTTGGCTCTTTATTTATATTTGTATCCCTGTACTTTAGTGCTAATATCCTTTCTCTTTTTAAAAAAAATGTCATTGTCGAGAGCAGTGCAGGTGTCCCCTAACTCTTGCGCTCCCCGGGTGTGTGTGTGTGTGTGTGTGTGTGTGTGTGTGTGTGTGTGTGTGATGTGTGAGCCAGGCCATGGGCAGGAAGGGCAGCCCCTCTTTTCACGGGCTCAGGGCGCCTGTGAGCATCTCTCAACAGAGGCCACAGCTTCTGTATGGGTGCAGCTGTGTCTGGTTTCACATGCTGCCCCCCGAAGGCCTAGGGGTGAGGGTGGCCCCAACCCTGGGGCTCTGCACCTTCCATATCTGGTCCCCCAGCCCCGAGCACACCTGATACACGCTTCCTTTCTGAGCTCGGTCTCCTGGCTGATGGCCCAGACAGAGACGGCCAGAACTGGGATGGAGCATGAGGCTGGAGATGCCGCTGCCCAAATAGATAGAAAGTCTGCAGTTTCCTCCTGCACTATGGTGTTGGCTTTGTTTTCCTTGTCACGTTTTTTAAATTATGGCAAAATACACTAGTATAAATTTGCCATCTTAAACGTTTTAAGTGTACACTTCCGTGTCATTAAGTTCATTCACATTATGCAGCTGTCACCTCATCCATCTCCACAGAACTCTTTTCATCTTACAGAACCGAAATCCTATGCCCACTGAACAGTGACTCCCCAGTGTGCTCCCGCAGCCCCTGGCAGCCAGCATCCTGTTTCTGTCTCCATAACTTGGCACATTTGGCACCTCACATTCAATACTTTTCCTTCTGGGTCGCGGTAATTTTACTCAACGTAGTGTTCATGAGGTCCAGCCAGGTGGCGGTGGGTCAGATGTCCTTCCTTTGTGAGGCTGAGTAATATGCCATGGATGACTCAGCGCCTTCTGTTTATTCGTCACCCTGCGACGTACCCGCTGTGACCTCCGCTCCATGGCCGCGTGAAGAATGAGCCTCTGTGAGACCCGCTGTCGATGACCTGGGAATGCGGCCGGCAGTAGGATTGTTGGGTGACATGGAACTTGATTTTTGATATTTTTAAAGAACTTTTTCAAACTGATGATTACATCCTGTGATGCACTAAAGCTTTCAATTTTGGTGTAGTCCATTTTTTTGTTTCCTGTGTTTCTGGTGTCATATCTAAGAATTCATTGCCATATTCAATGTCATGCAGCTTTCTCCTGTTTTCCTCTAAGACTTACACAGTGTTAGCTCCTACATCTAGGTCTGTGATCTGTGGTGAGTTAATCTTTATCCATGGTGTAAGGTAAAGCCCAATGCTATTCTTTTGCATGTGAATATCCATTTTGCTTCGCACCATTTGTTGCAAAGACTGTCCTTCCCCACTGCGTCGTCTGGCTCTCCACTAAAGCTTCCTTCCTACTCTTTAGATCTTTTACTGTAAAACTGTTTCTGTAGAGAAAATTCTTCAAGTGTTTTCTTTCCATCTCCGTTTCTGCCGCCCTGGCTCATTCAGCCCCTGATTGAAGCCACAGTGAAGGCCTAGTGCTGCTGAGTGGCCATCCCTCAGTCCCTCCGTCCCTCTGTCCCTCAGTCCCTCCCGGAGGCCTGCTGGTGGGAGGCCTGCTTGCGCCGAGCCTTGGCGGCAGCATTGCTTCTCGGGCAGTGCTTCTCAGCGCTGGTCCCAGGGTGGCCCCAGGTCGGAGCCTCTCCCGGGCCTGCACTCCTGCTTAGGGCCCGCCACTGTTTCCTGCTGCAGGTTGCACTTCGTGCAGTGTCCTAGTTTCTGCAAGTTATTCCAGTTTTAAACTTTGCGTACAGGTTTGAGATGGTGTGGTTAGCCATGGCAAATGTTCTTTTTCATTTGGGTTTTGTTTTATTACTTCTTGGTTCTTATTTTCTTTGAACGACTCCCGCTGTGGCATAAATAAATATGAGTTTGCCACTTTTCTTCTGATGCTGTGTGGAAACCTGCCCTTTGCTTATTTACCAAGAAGGAGTCCAGGCTAATGGGATGGTCTGCGTCTAGAGACCAGAGGAAACCATAGCTTTGGAATGTTTGCTGTGGCCTCGCCCAGCGGATCTTCACTGTTGGGTGAGGGGACCAGAACCAGCTAAGAGTCAGGAGCCCAGACTCCTGCTGAACTGAGCTCCTCCCCTCGGCTGCTGGCATCTGGGCGGTGGCTCCGTCCTCGTCCTCGGGGCTGCCCTTTGGTCACAGGATGTCTGGCAGTCCCTCCGGCCCCGCCCAGGAGCAGCCCTGCAGGTGTGACAATCAAGACACCTCCTCACGAAGAGGCCTGCAGCCGCCCGCCCGGCTAGAACCAGTGCCCCGAGGCCCAGCAAACTGGGCCAAAGGCGCGAGCCAGATGCTTTCCGCCTGCCGCTCCCTTTCCGCCGGTCCCGGGGGACCAGTTGAGCTGTGTGAACATTCCCGTGTTCCTTCGCCTTGAATGCCTCTGCTCTCCACTTCCTGGCGCGGATTGTGCTGCATATGCAGTCAGACCCCAGTGCCTCTCCCACTCCCTGGGACGCAGTGTTCTGTGATGCTCCAGAGGCTTCCCCAGTGCCTCTCTGCTTTCTTGCCTTAAAATGGTAATATGTCCCTCAGAGGCCCCAAAGGAGGCCCCAAAGCGGCCATCCCGCACAGCCCGAAGGCGGCGTGAAGCAGCCAGGACTGCAGGGGTTCATGGGCTCTGACCCTCCAGGGCCCAGCACCTCTGCATTGCGGGCGGTTCCCTCCCCTCCGCTCCCCACCTCCCACCCCCACCCTCTCCTTCCTTTCCTACTGGTGCATACAGTCTAGGAGTTACAGTTTACATGTAAGTCTTGCACTATGCTGGGGAGAAAAGAAACTATTTGAAAAATTGAAAGAAAACACGCCCGGGAAGACCCGATCCGCGTCCTGTGGGAGCGGTTTCCCAGATTTCACTCTAATTCCGTCATCACGGTGATCATTTCAGGTGGTTAGGAGGGTTTTCAGAAACAGGGAATTAGTCAGGACAACCTTTTTTCCATTGTCGTGGAGTTGGTCAGATCCCATCTTTCTGTTACTC